CTTTATCTTGAATTTAGACCAGATTTTTTTTAATTAACTCTTTCAGAGTTCGAAATTATAAATTAATATTACGTGGTCGGTCTTTTTAGAAAACGAATAAATTGATACTCTATAGCCTATTCCATGCGGTATTTTAATACACACGAATTTTTATTAATTTATCATCTACCTCGATAAATGCATTAAATATTCCTGAAAAAAAAACACATGAAATTTTATAATAGTTCATGCGTCTCTCCGTCAATATAAAAAATATACTGTACATTTTTTTGTTCTACAATTATATAGAAAAAACTATATAACTTATATAATAAACCATTTGCTGGTAATATTGAAACAATGCACACACAGCACATTTATAAAAGTTTTTTATAAATTTCAGAGTCGGAAGTAATATCGATCATCGCTACATATGCAGAATGCATAGAAAAATTGAGATGTTCCGAACCTGTAGAACTGTAAATATGCAGGTATGCTTTTACATATACCTATATTTTCACACAACGGAGCCGTAAAAGTGCATGCAATATCACATGCGTTCACGCCAAATCATCCTATACGCAATAAGAACAGAGTATGCGACTTTTACAGCTTCAACTCTTGGCCAATTAATTGAGAAAGCAAGCACACGTTGCGATCAATAGTTGTGGGCTGTTTCTTGTATTAGGTTACTAAAGCATAATGCATGATATTTATTAGTATGCAAAAAAATAGTTTGGATCAAACTTGAAAAATTATAAATGCGAATAAATACAAATCAATAGCCTGTCTCAATAAATCCAAATATTTTAATGAGCGCTGCGCCAATACTGGCTGTTTGTATTCATTGAAGCAAATTTTCCGTTCTTCATTTTTCTTCATTCGTATTTGTTCTCATTTATTTGAACTGATTCCGGCTACATCCGCTAGCTATTTCTAAAAAAACACCGTAAAATAACATATTGGATATCTTCTTCTACGTGACTTGAATGACTTGTTTGAAACGACAATGGGCGCTAATGGAGCATAACTTTTATAACTTCCGTTTGTGAAAAGTTAGTCTTCGGAGCTATCGATGTGATAAAAAATTAAGCAATGTGTTCTACTTTCACAAATCACAAAGACAAAACACTATCAAAGAGCAGCCTTGAGATATCAACCGCAATCGTATACGTATAGGTATAAATACATTAAATGTATTTGCGCGTTATGTAGTTTATTCCTATGTACAATATATGTATGTGCGCTGTGTATAGCCAGACAATATGGCTTACTCATGAATATGGATGTAACGCGGACAACGGAATGGCTCAGTGCAAACTGATTAAGGCAAATCACGTAACCAGAAATGTATTCCTCTATTTTCATTGCTATTAAGATAACTTTCGGCATTGATGAGATGCAATATTAATTGATTCAGACATATAATAGACCGTTTAAGAAAAAGTGAATTGCTGACTAAGGTCTCTTGAAAATTGGCGGTTTTGAATGGGTGCGCGAATTATCCGAGCAGATTTAACAACGAACTCGGCGAACTTTCATTAAAAGTTTCGTGACAAGCCCGATGTTCTAGCTTTCGTGTCTTGAAGAACAAAATGAAAAAGAAGTGAGGGATAATCGGAAACTTTTCGCATGCGATTTTACGCTGCTATTTCATACTCCATCATTATAGGAAATACTCGAGGAAATATTTGTAAAAAGTTGTATATATAATTAAAAGTATATTTTTTATATATACGATAATTATCAATAGATTATCGTTTGCACACTCGTATACAATTTGATTTTTCGCTTACACATTCTTAATAATAAAGTTATAAACAAAGTTTTTTAAATATTTGTCTATAATTTTATTATTAAGGATGTGTAACCAAAAAGTCAAATTGTATACGAGTGTGCAAACAAAAACTTATCGATTAAGGCTATTTCAATCTAATTTTCTCGTAGTTTGGGACTAATGTGAAATTGGCCCCCAAAAAATTCTTTTGTTAATATTGCTTGAACTAGAAGTGTTCAAATAAAAATTCGAAATGTGCATACGTGTGCAAATCGAATGAGCTATTTAGAAAGTTATTTTTTTTTTTTTTATGTTGAAGGGCTAACTTTACACGAGTATCAAGAGACACGGTAGTGTCTCGCGCTAAGTAGAGTGCTGGCTTAAAGTAACCTAGCACCCCCACTCATTAAAATTACTTGTAAAATAAAAAACTCAATATGCTAGAATTATGTGCTTTTTATGTGCTTTCAAATGCCTCAAACAAAATTAGTCTATGTTTAAAAGTATACACAAAAAAAGATCCATATACTACTAATATAAAAGTAAAGTATCATTTAAAATACAGAAAACGAAATAATTTTTGTTTTAAAATGTTTCTCGATTAATGTGTTCTCGAAATATGCACAATGAAATTTTTGTGCTCATCCCCTTCAACCGACCCGAATGTGAGCACCCCATACGTACAAGAGTAAAGTACCAATTAAAATATAGATAGCAAATTGGTTTTAGTCTTAAAATGTTCCTTAATTTATGTGCTTTTAACCCATTGGCTGTGTAAGAGAATTTTACTATTTGGGCCAAAAGTGTGTTAAAAAAAAAGTTCATCGGATTATTATGAAACTTGATACCCTTATGTTTTTTGGGTCTCTGAATCCGAATTCGAAGTCAGATGTACAAAATTCAAAATGGCGGGTCCAATATGGCGGATCAAATTTACAAAAAATAGTCTGATTTTTATGAAATTTGGTACCCTTATGTTTTTTGGGTCTCTGAATCGGAATATGTCAGATTTTCAAAATTCAAAATGGCAGATCCAATATGGCGAATCAAAATTACAAAAAATGGTCTGATTTTCATGATATTTGGTACCCTTACAATACATTTTTTATAATTTTAAAGCGCCATATTGCATCCGCCATTTTTTAATTTTGATGTCATATTCGGATTTAGAGACCCAAAAAACATAAGGGTACCAAATTTCATGAAATTCAGACCATTTTTTGTAATTTTAATCCGCCATATTGGATCCGCCATTTTGAATTTTGAAAATCTGACATCATATTTGGACTCAGAGACCCAAAAAACATAAGGCTACACAATTCCATGTAAATCTACCAACTTTTTTATTTTTGATACGTCATATTGGATCCGCCATTTTGAATTTTGAAAATCTGACTTCATATTCGGATTCAGAGATCCAAAAAACATAAAGGTACCAAATTTCATAAAAATCAGACCTTTTTTTGTAATTTTGATCCGCCATATTAGAACCGCCATTTTGAATTTTGTACATCTGACTTCGGATTCGTAATCAGCGACCCCAGAAACCCCCGAGTAACAAGTTTCAAGCAAATTCAAAAAGTTTTACTTTGTTTTTTCTATGTTGCAGCTATAGCCGTCATACACACTCTTGGCCACTTTTGTTTTTGCGGCTATAGCCGTCATACACAGTCAACGGGTTAAAATATGTAGAATAAAAATTTTGTGCTTATCTCCTTCAGCCGACAAACCTGCTTGAAAGTGAGCACCCCATACGTACAAGAATAAAGTACCAGTTAAAATACAGATAGCGAATTGGTTTTAGTCTTAAAATGTTTCTTAATTTATGTGCTTTCAAAATATGTAGAATAAAAGTTTTATGCTTATCCCCTTCAGCCGACAAACCTCCTTGAAAGTGAGCACCCCATACGTACAAGAGTAAAGTACCAGTTAAA